GGGTCATATGATTGTTGGGGTTTTCTCTGTATCTATGAAGCGCCTTGAGGCGACTTTTGTTGTGATTTGGCGCTATATAAATAAAATTGAATTGAATTCTAAGGTCACCCTGCAGACCAGCACAGCCCCAACACCGCTTATTTATTCGAAACATTGATTGATTATACTTCATTGATCCCGAAAGAAATTGGGTAGGTTAAGCCTGCTAGCTTCAGCCAGTGCCAACATGAGCACCCCTTCTGACCATATATAGATTACACAAACATCACATTGGGAAGAGGTCAGAGGTATGAAAATCAGTGAAATCCACAATACATACAAGAAAGAGGAGAAAAAAAGAACTCCTCCCAGACTGAGCTCCTAAGGGAGAGCAGTTTGAGAATAGAAAAAAAACAAACATTTCTTACGTCTGTTATTCACATCTTTATTACAAACAAGTTGGACGATGACGTCGTGTTGTTCAGAGGTGGTGTGAGGAGAGCGGACTCGTTAAAGCAGCCCAGGTCAAACCGGTCAGTACAGAAATGGATACTGCTGTTCACACTGCCACTGTGACTTCCTGTCGTTGTGATGGCGACCATCACCTGATCACCTGTGGAGGGACTTGTGATGAAATGTATGGAGAGGTTTTACCTGTCGATGACCACGGCCTTTCACAGTGAACTGCATGTATTGCTGTTACCGCCATGACTGATGAAACCTTGCTTTCATAAACCAGCGTTAACCTGCTCTTCTCCTTCTTTTGTCCCTAGCTGGCAGTCGGTAGGGGAGGTCATCCACGAAGCCAATATGTCTCTGTGGGTGTCGTAGGGTTTCCATCTTGGTCAACAATGCACTTCCAGACCTTGACCTTTGCTTGCTTTAAGGGTTAGATGTTGTCGTTTAAGATAGTTTTCAATTTGCTCGATCCAAGTCTTCTTGGGGGCGATGATTGCTCATGCAGCAGACGCGGCCAAACCAAAAAAGCTCTTCTATCGAGGGCTGCTGGTGACATTGACTATGTATCGCGCTGTTGCTGCGCCGGTCACAGAGGGATGCTCGGAGAATCTGACGCAAACGGCACATTTGGAAGAACTCGAGCTTGTTGAGTTCGGGCTTGAGGATGACCCAGATCTCTGATCCATAGAGAAGAATTACAAGTGTGTGGTACAGGCGGATTTTGGTAATCAGGGTGAAGTTCGTCTTCCTCCAGACGCACCATTGGAGGGAGCCGAATGCCGCTGCTGCTGTGTTAACCAGCTGGTCAAATGAACATTGTCACACATGTCCATAGACCTTGGCCTTGTTATGGTTTAAATGAATAATTTATAGTTTCTGGATTAAGTGAAGATAAAACTCACTTTTTTTTAAAAAAATCAATTAAAGGCATAAAAAGAAAAAGATCAGTATTAAAGCGTCGCCTGCTTAAAGCGTCCATGTTCCTGGACACGGACACGTGCTGCCTTCCTCAAACACATTTAACTCCCCGTGCATCCATCCACAGACTGAAAACAAGCTCTGAAACAACATTCAAAACAGTAACTCACTTTAATTTAGTTCTCTCGTTGGCCGGTGAGCTCGCTTTAAACATGACAAATGAAGTGCATCGGTAGAAGCCTAACAACGGGTTTGGAAACATGCTCCATTCAGACACGTCTGTCAATCCACATATTACAAGCCAACATTATTATTACTCAAATAAAACCACTATAGTTCAGCTCTTGACCTGATAGAAAAAAAATAAGACAGATCCATCGCTAGATACAATGGTGGCAGCAATACACAGGATTGCCCAAGCAGTAAAGTACACGTTCCTTTAAGAAACAGGGAGAGAACGCGAAAAACAACACCTAACCTCTGGGTTCATTATCCCCAATTCAAGTAGTATTTACCCTTTTTTATGTGTTTGCATGTTTTGATTTGTTTAATAAATTCAAGTTCAGCATGAAAAACAACAAGAGTCCAAATAATACGTGTTGGTGGAGTTCAAAGAAGAAGAGGAGGAGGAGACGATGGGAGAAATGAGTGCGACGTCCTCAAATCAGGAGGTGAGGGGGAGGAGGAGGCTGGAGTGGAGGGCATCCGGGGAGGAGGAAGAGGCAGCCATCTTCAGGAGAGACACATGCTGCTGAAATCAGCAGGAAGGAGCGGGCAGAGCTCTTGACTAAACCTGCGTTTATTACTGAAACCTGTTTTGACGCTCATGCACCAGGAGGGAAATGACGAGGAACCACGACCGCACAGAGTTCCTCGCTTTTCCTTCCCAGGAGCGGAGCAGAGAATTTGGCCGTGTCCAATCAGCTCCTGCTGCGGCAGGCACACACCTGCTCAGGTAAATGACAGTAATGAACTCAGGTTCAGAGGCCGGGAGCCTCACTGGCGGGGGGCAGGGTAGCGTCCCTCGCTGGGTCCGGCGCCCCGTCCGGAGCCAAAGCTGGGTTTCTGTGACGTGCCTCCGCGGGCAGAGGGGCCCCGGGGTCCCCCGCTGCCCCCAACCCGCTCTCTGGGCCCGCCGGGGCCGCCGGGGCCCCGAGGCCTGGCGTCCCGCCTGTCGCCCTCTCTGGCTGACCGGGTTTTCTTCTCCTCCACATTCAGGCGTACGTCGCCTCGGAACTTGATGGGCTGAAGGAGAAAAGAGGCATTAAAGCGGTTGTCACGGGCCAAGACACAAACAGCTGAGCGTGAAGCTCCTCGGCTGAAAGCATCAAAAAGCTCACCCTGTTACTGAGAATCTTCTGGACGGGCTCAGAGTCGTCAAACACCACAAAGCCAAAGTTTGGAAGCTTCCCTCCGCTGTTGATCCTGAGCTCCAGGACCGTCCCGTACTCTGAAAGACGCGGTAAAAACAGTCAGATTTTACACCTACAAACAAAAGAAAAAACAAAGTTTCACACAACCCAACTCACGCTCAAAGAACTCCTTCAGTTCGTTCTTGTCCACGTCGTGAGGCACATTCCCCACAAAGAGTTGGTGTGCGTCGGGATACCGGACCACCCGGCGCCCCTCCGACTCACCCTGCTCTCCTTCTCGAGCTGAGACAAACAAGAAGAGTCCTTTTCAGATACAGCTTCTCTGTGTTCAGCAAAAATAACAAATCCAAACACATCGAGGAGACCCCGCTGTCACAAATCAGCCAGGGACATCTTTGCAGCCGAGGTGCTTCGTGATGTTACCTCTGGTTTACAATAAAGGCCTGCTGCTGACGGGACTATGCGTACCTGGTCTGGGGCCTCTGTGAGTGGGCGGAGGACCTCCCGGCCTCTGTTCCCTTGACCTCTGGTCTCTCTGTGGTCTCTGTGCTGGTGTCTGGGACTCTGACTTCACTTCAGCTCTGGGCTATAAGAGTCGAAACGCATTTTAAAACAAAAAGTTTGTTTTCTGGACTCGAGGCTCTGATTATCATCACAAACGTGCTGCTGGCAGAAGCTAGCTCTCAGAGCTCTGCCATCATCTTCTCAGTGTTACCCAAGAGAAGCGATTGCATCATAAACTGAGATTAAATCTGCTTTTAAAATAGTGACACCTGCTGCCAAAGAGTAAAAGGACAGCCATTTCCAGAAAAATGTTGAGAAATCAAAGTCTTTGTGTGAGACTTTATCATATTTGCTAATATTTGACATGAATGTTCATTCAGAGCATCACGGCACTTCTGAACCCACACCTGCGACATAAAGCCTGAGCAGGGTTCTGAGGGAGAACAGGGACTCACCGGTGCTGTGGGGGTGACTTTGACGACATGGGGAGGGATTCCTGAGACAGGGACAGCCCCGCTGGGAGGGAGGTTCTTACTGGTGACCAACGCCCAGGAGAACGGCTGCAAGACAAAGGAAAGAAATCAGATCCTCGTGTTTGCCACTTAACCCAATTCATAAACGCCGCCACACAACCACCTACCCTGTTTTCCTCCGGGGCGGCGGGGGCGGGCTCGGCAGGTGCAGCGACAGCTTCTGTAGCGGATGGTGTGGCGGTGGCAGGGCTTTTCTCTGTCTGCTCGTCACCTGTGTGCACGTCTGTCTGCGTGTCCGGCTTCGTCTCGAGCTTCAGCTCCACCGCCACTGCCTCGGCCTCCTTCTCTGCTTCCTGCTCTGGCTCTGGGCTTGCCGCCACCGCTTCCTCCTCGTCACCAGGAACGGCTGGCTCTGAACTGGAAGCAAAGAAGAGAGAAGTTCACTTCACTGAAAACACTACTTGTGGCAGTTTGCTTTAGAACTCCAGTAAATAAAACTGTGACATCATCTTCCTCTTCCACAACCCGGGTGCAGCTGTGTTCTGTGCGTTTAAATATTCAAGTTTAAACCTCGACAAGAACGCGAGGCTCTTCAGCGTGCTTTGATCACATACCAAGCTGCTGGGTCGTAGAAAGGAGCCGACTCCTCGGGAGCCACGTCAGGGGAGGGAACCCTCTCCTCCAGCTCCTCCACCTCGTCCTCGGACTCTGAAAACCAAAACACGTACGTAACATTAAATATCTGCGCGAGACTGCGGCTGTACTAACAGCAGCAACGCTAAACTTCCTCCACCTCTGCTCTGAAAACACTCGACTCACTACCCGAATATTTTCATCCCCGTTTAACCGATTAGACATGTTCAGGATTTCTTAATCTGATCTCTGAAAGAGTCATGAATCACAACAAAAACAGAACTAGATGTGTTCTCACCCTCAGGCGGCTCAGAGTCGGAGTCGCCGAACACTTCGTCCTGGTAACGGAACACGTCGTTGTGGACGTAGAATTTGTTTGCAACGGTTCCCTGAAGGAAAGGAAAACCCATCAATCAACACTTTCTACTGCGGGTTCATGTCACAGATCACAGGATAACAGGCTGAAGGCCCGATGGAAGAACTGACCTCGGGCGCCAGCACGAAGGTCTGCATGAATTTCCTCATGGGCTGCATGTTGTTGGACAGCTCGCCCATCACCTGCACCACCACGCCCTCATTCAGGGTGGCGTGAGCGTCCACGTGTCTGATCTTGGTGTGACAATCTCGGAAGCTCAGAGCCATCACCCTCTTATGGATCTCCTGGAAAAGAGAACAGACAGGCTCAGTCAGACTTCCCGCGCCCAAACCTAAAAGCTATGAACTCAAACCATCTTCACGCTTGTGGTCAGACGTCAATCAGAGGACGCCACCTCGTTCAGCTTATCATTCAGGATGGGCCAGCCTCATCTGAAATTAGCCTGCGTGTGTGTGTTTTAATGTAAGCTGTAACTATAACATATTACTTTGTAGTACAGTTACATCCTTCTAGCTCTTTGGAATTGACCTTAAAGCTACAGCCTGCCACTTTACTTACAGATTGTCCGTAAACGGCCTCCGCCGGTTTGCCGTTGCTGTCCAGGCCACCGTGAACGTAGGATGAGTTCTTTCCATAAAACCTGAGCGCAAACAGCAGAGACGGATTTAGTGTGTGCAGGAAGACATTTACAAAGACGCGTGACGCTTCAGTCACTCCCTCGTATGCTGACAAGAATTTCACTCGCATGTACTGTACCAGTGTACCTGCACATGTGATGTGACAATAAAAGTGATTTGATTTGATTTGACAAACAGCTGCCGGCTGTACCTGTGCAGGTAGTCGGGGGCCTGGTTCAGGAGTGTGTAATACTGTCGGACAAACTCTCGCCCGACCAGCTGGGCACTTGGCTTCTCCATCACCATTTCTTTGGTCAACTTGAAATCTCTGCAGAGAGAAAGAGCAGGCTGAGATCAGCAACAGGCCAAATGATATCACTACAAACAAAGAAAGCTCCGCTCATCCCGACAGCTGTGAACAAATTCATCATGGACGTTTTAGTGCCACAAACATGGAGACATGAGGACTGCACAGACTGAGAAATCTGCTCAGAATGAAGTCATTCTGAGCTCAGTAGTCTCTTAAACATTGATCATTCAGAGCAGCAGACCCCGTGGGGTAGAGGAACTTTGCTTCAGGTGCTGATGAGCTGCTCATGCAGACCGACTCATCTCGTTTCAGCCTCGGCCTCTACGTGTTTGTGACGCCTGTATTCAGCAGAGCTGACCCATTCTGCCTCGTCTGTGTGAACCGATGTGAAAACGGCCCTGGAGACGATTTTCACAGGGCGTGGACACTAACCCACAGAATTAGCAGAAAATGTAAAAAGGAAAAAAAAAGAAAATTCAGGACGATAAGTGTCTTACATTGGGATATGAGATTTTGGTCATATCGCACAGCCCTACTTTCTGACACACCTGAATTTATGCTGAAAGTCTTATTAAAAAACTGTTTCTTCTGTGGCAGATAGCACATCGTCCACGGGAAACTGCACAAATGTTGACTATGTTTTGGAATGGTTGCAGACTATGGCTTGTTCAGATGTGTTCTACCTTTCCTGTACTATGACAACTATGATGCAAACAGGCGTCAGAAGCAGGAAGCTTGCTGCACTCCACAGACACGCCTGGCATGCTCAGACAGACCTGCATACTTTCCCTGTTTCTTGAACATTTGCAGTTTTTAAAATGAGACCCGCTCAGGATTTTTCCACAGAAAGCTGCAGGGCTCGTCAGACTCGATGGATTGCCTGCTTCGTGCCTCTACTGGTAGATTTTCTCACTGTAGCAACATGAATGGAGTCTATAAGGAAGACTGGAAAAAGTCATTTCTGCTGTGAATTCCTCAACAATCAATCCCAAGGTCCTTCTTTCACGCTGAATGGAAATGAACCACAGGAAACAACCAGCTGGGTCACTTTACTGTGACAGAAAGAGCTGGTGGCTTTTATTTGAGAGTCTCTGCTAAAAACATTTCCAGGGTATCCACCTGTGAAGCCGGCAGCCTGCTTGGCCTCCTCATCGGGATATTTTTAGACAGAAACCACGGCTGCTACATGAGCTACTCGCCGACTCTACCCGCTAACCTCTCTCAGTGTAAAACTCCAACAATAGGACAAAGAAAGCGCAACACGGACAATGTGTTAGCATCTAATGTTTATTTCAGTAACAGTTTTGGCTTTAATCCGTGTTCTGTTGTCCAACATCTATTTAATGTTTTTTAGGTTTAATAAATCAACAAAGTCTGAGTAATGATATTAAATAAACCTGATTTCAACATCAACTGAAACAACGGTGATGAACATCTGTTATGATATCCTGTGTATCGAGCAGCTGCTGTTCTAAGCCCAGTTAGCCTTACCGAACCAAGAACTACAACCTGCAGTTCCTATAGCATCCAGCAGGGGCTCCAGCAGCAACTCAGTTAAAATGAACATGTTTACAGCCTGAAACAAACTAGTTTGTGGTCTCTATAGGCGAGTTCTACCTTTATAAAAGCTGTTCCAACTGGACTAGGTTTGCATTATTAGGGGCGTGGCCTCTGACAGGTGGTGGTGACACAGGTGGCCAGCACAAACATCCTAAATCACAATTCATGTTGATCTGAACTTTGTTGCTTTGAACTGTACACAGTGTGCAGACTGTCCAACTTGAGTAAAATCAAACAAAAATCAAAGTACTACAAGTATTACATTTGGAAGGTTGTGCAGATTACACCGGCCAACGAGTATTTTGCTGCTGGGCTTCGTTCAGCTGTGCTTTCATGAATTTCGCTTCCAGATTTCAAATTTTAAAAAATGTTTTCTTCAAACAAGCCTAGTTTTTTTTTAGCTGACTTAAACAAAAAAATAATAAATAAAAATAAAAAGACAGTAAGGTATTTCAGTGTTTAACAAGTTTGCTCTCCAGAAAAGTGAAGGCAGAATAAAAGGAGGCGTATTTGTTGCCCCTGAACTGAACTGATACTGAATCCGCAGCACACAAAACACTCATGGACGCAGAGTGAAAGCAGAGAATCACAAATCGTGAGTGTGAAACAGCTCATCAGATGATTCAAGACTCATGTTTCTGTCAACAAGCACAGGGAAAGATTTCATCAAGACATAAATGTGACCGAAGACCGATATCAGGGAAAATGTAATCCAGGCATGACGGTGACTGCTGCTGGTCATCGCAGAGCGACAGATGTAATGAAGCGCTAGTGACTCATATACTTTTAATCTCTTTTATTTAAATAAATTGATAGAAATTTTCTTTAATGCATCTCTTGCTTGTTTCCCAAAACCAGTGAAGGCACAATGGTCTCCTACTCCCACACCCCAACATCTTTCTCCATCTCTATCCCAGCATCATCATCTGTTTCACTACACCAGTGGTAGGCGACTCCAGGCCTCAAGGGCCAGTGTCCTGCAGGTTTTAGATGTGTTGTTGATCCAACACAGCTGATTCAAATGGCTAAATGACCTCCTCAACAGTTCTCCAGAGGCCTGGTAATGAACTAATCATTTGATTCAGGTGTGTTGACCCAGGGTGAGATCTAAAACCTGCAGGACACTGGCCCTTGAGGCCTGGAGTCGCCTACCCATGCATTACAACTAGGAACCTCTTCTGAGATTTTCCTCTTGTCCTCCCACCTAGCAGCTCCATCTTCATCCTTTGCCCAGTGTATCCACTCTCCCTCGATTTTGAGCCATCCCTCTGATTGACTCATTTCTAATCCTATAAAACCTGATGCTTAAGATTAAATCTATCTTAGGTGAGCCTAACCATACCTTGGATATCCTGCTCGAGCATGCTTCCTGGTCTTTATACAATACCGTCTGCAGGCATCCCTGGATGTTTCATGTCTGCTGTTACTGGCAATGTGAAACCTGAAGTGCTCTTTACCTGGGTCTTCATTGGCCTACAACAGGAATCTGAGGCCTGCAAGCTGATGTAGGTATAGCTGATTCACATACAGTTAAGGTAAAGAGTCAAATGTATGTAACACAGGTCTGTTCTCTGCCCATTTTCATGTCTTTGGACATTTGATAAACTTTAAATCCATTTTGGGTTAATTAATTAAGCCCTGCACTCCTACAGTGTGTCTTCCTCCCCCTTACCCCCTGGGCTAGCCAAGGAAGATGGCCGCCTTCCCTCAGCCTGCTGTTGAAGGTGTCTTCTTGTTAGAGAGAATTTAGCCCTCTGCTAACACCGGGAGTACACGGGATCACTGGCCTTCACGCTACCTTCCACCGAAAAGTGCTGTGCAGATAAATGTGCACACCTGTACACACAGCACGAGCCATCTGTTGCTGTGACACACCGCCCAGCCCTCCCTGGTCCACCAGGCTTTAAGGTGGACTAGCCCAGCTAGCCTAAAAACGTGCCCCAATGCTTCCAGCTGGCTCTAGCTTATCGATCCGGGCTCCGCGTGAAGGACCGCGCTTGCACGCACACAAAGGCCGCGGCGTGCCCGCTGCTTGGAGCCGCTCACCGGCTTACACGCGACCCTCAGTGGACTGCCCCATCGATAACCGGGTTCACATGGCACGCTAGACGGCCCTCTCCGGAACCAAGCTGTGGAAACTGAGCGAACACACGGCTCCCTAAGCGAGGCAGGGCGAGCGGCGGCCGCAGCACGTGTCCCGGCCGGCCACCCCTCCGCTGCTGCCGGAGAGAGCCCCGCTAGCAGCTCCGAACCGGGACCGAAGGGTGAACCAAACACGAAATTGATCTTTAAACTATTTATTTAAATTAACATGTAGGGATTAAACGACAAAATGGAGCGGTAAAAGAGGCAGAAACGACCAAGCCACGGCTAAAAAGAGAGCTACATGTGGGGGATGGCTATATCCTGGAGACCAAACAATCAAGCCGGTAGCTGCATTTCGACTTTTTCACGCAATAACAGTTATTACACCATCCGATGGCATTTCAAAATACTCAAATATTGTAATGTATAGGTAATACACGATTATATAATTATACTCTAGTTACAATGTCATTACGGTTGCTAACAGCAACTCCCCTTCTACACCAGGCTGTAGACGCGGCCTGGAAGAGCGATCCAAGAAAAAACACAAGTATAAACTAATCACACACAGAGATGTTGGATTAGATTACAGAGAAGAGTAACTTACCGCCTGGTGAATTATTTTGGGCAAAACTGCGCTTTACAAACAGGAAGTGTCTAAGAGTCACAGCAGCGGCTGCCTGAACGCTAACGGCTTCACAACGTGCCGAAATGCTTAGTACCGGCCTCGGTTCCACAACCGAACGTGCTATTCTGCCCGCCTACGCGACGGCTACTCAATCATATTCACGCTCCGCGACTCATTCACCAATAGTTGAACGTGACTGCAACGGCCCCTTACGTACAGCCAATCCGGAAGCGTCTCCTCGCTGCCTGGGTTCACGGAGCGTGCCAATAACGTCACAGTGTCAGTTGACGGTACGATGGTTTCGTGAACAGGCGACTGCCGTTTTTGTTGTTAGCTCGCAGTGTACCGTTGCTTACCCCCGCCTGGGGGCGACAAAGGCTCTTGTTGTCCAACATGGGAGCGAATGAGTCATCCAATCATGCGGATTTTAATTCGTTTTAAGCGGCTTAATGTGATAAAAGGAGGCCGTGGGACCGAGATGTGGGCTTCACTCTTTTCAGATCAGAAGAAGCTGGATGCAGCCTGCTTTAGGACTGTTAAACAAACTAATCCAAACTCAAGATCCAGTGAGGGGCTTTTTCTGCAGCCATAAACCTCATCTCACCGATACAAGTGCAGAGTTTCTTTATTTATCATTTTCTGTTCTGTGTCGGTTATAATTTTAATAAACATGAGCAAAAGAGAGAGGAAGACACCATAAAATGAGCTGACAGCTGGACATCGACTTGTTTTGTTTTTTTGTTTGTTTTTTTTATTCCTGCATTTCCAGTTTTTGCCATTCGTATTGTGTCCCTTTGTATTTCCCTCACGATTTCCCATCATCACCCCCTCCTCTCCACTGCACCACTTCAGTGTTCTGTTTTTTGTGCTACCTCAATATTTTTAGTGCCCATCCATAAATAATATCAATAACATATGATGCTCTGCCAATCTGTACCAAAACAGCCATCCAAAAAGCTTTTCCTTGGAGCAAGATTTCTTTTTCAAAGAGTGTGTACAGTCGCAACATTATTTTTTACTGTGTTCATTTAACATATTAAAAAAAAGGTTTTTATGGCTTTTTAATAAAAACACATTTACCTTTAGCTGTAATTATATAACAAATTAAAAGGAACCAACAACAAAAAAGCTAACAAGTGCTGTAGAATTCTTCTTATTCCAGCTTTTTACTTGCTGTTCTGCTTTCATTTAAAGAAGCCCAGGTTACACAGAAATTAGTCTTTACCACTAGATGGCAGTAGAGACTTTGAAAAATGGACTGGTTCCTTTTCTAAGACATGTCGTTCTACCCAGCAGGATGCCCTACAGAGCAACTTGGGTTAGTTTCCAGGGATATTTGCAGTGTTGGGAAGATTGCTTTTAAAATGTATTCCATTACAGAATACATGCCCCAAAATGTATTCTGTAACGTGTTACGTTACTCAATGACAGTAACGTATTCTGAATACTTTGGATTACTTAATATATTATCATGCTTTTTACAACTATGTGAATGTACTATTGCTGTGTGATTTATTACTATTACCGAGGGTCCGCGGCTCCGAACCTTAGTAAAGGGACCTAACTAATATGGCGGGGTCCCTGTCGGCTCGTAGCCGAAAAATAGCTCCACTTTGTTGTGTGGGTCAACTTTTCTTGCGAGAGACAGAGAGAGGCGTTGAAAGGCTGCTCCAACGGAACTTATTGTTTTCGGAGGAAAACACAAACACAGTGTACAGTCGAGTCTTAATAGCTTACTTACAACTGGGCTCGTCAGGCACTCTTCTTGGCTGCAGTGGTTACTATTATATTTACATGCTTCCAGCTCCCGTTTTTGCTGGATGACTGCTCATACTTTTCCACTCTCCTTTTTCTCCCTCCTCTTGCTCACAGACGCATAACGGGTATGGCAGTCCATTCTCCCTGCAACACGGACTACACTGCCCATGAGGCTACATTCTTTAGAGCTTGTAGCATTCTGCCTGTTAGCTTAGCACAACAACAAAAAGGCGCTCTCTCACCCAGGAAACACACAGTCGCAGAGAGAGAGAGAGAGAGCAAGCGTCGCCCTGTAACCATGGCAACCGTAACGCTGCCGCCTGGAACAACAGAACATAGCTGTCAAACAAAACCCAAACAAAGGCATATACAAAGGCATCACAGCAGCTCCAAGTGTGAAGAACTGGAGTGAGAAGCATTGTCGAGAAATTCAAAGAGAGCCGCACAGCACAGAAGAAGCCTGGCAGAAGAATTAAAGACTCTGAAAGAAAACTAGTGAGGGTCTAAAACACCCAGAACAACTGCAGAGACACGCGTGGATGACTCAGCCGAGTTATCATGCAAAAAGGCCTCACCACTGACTGTTAGCGTCGGGAGCATATTAAAAAATGAAAGGGGGGTAATAAATCTGTTATCATCTGTATGTGTTCAGGGAGTTTCTACCTTTTTAACCACAAGATGGCGCTACAGTGTTAATGTTTGTCTTGGAGAGCCTCTCATGTCTGATATGAAGAGGTCACAATATAAACAACAGCCAGTTAATCCACAAATCAGGATCGATTATTTAAATCATTTTAGTTCATGTACATGACGTCCAGTCTGACCAATGAAGCCACTGATAATGAGCAGCCTGAGCGGAAAATGGGTTCCTGTGTTGCTTTGGCTGCTTTGGACTGTCAGAGGAAAGTCCAAAAACACGTCTTCCTTTTCTGTAACTCTACGCTTGGTGGCCAGAGTGTGGCCTGGTTTTTTGCCCCGGATTTATTTGAATTTTTCTATAATCCTGCTCACACCTGTCAGGTTTCTGCTCTCTCTCTCTCTGTTTGTGTGTGTGTGTGTGTGTGTGAGATGAAGCTGTGATTTCCACCTGAGTGACAGAGCAAGCTAGAGCCTCGGGGATGATGCTTTCCCACCTGTGGCGCTGCTTTCAGAACAGAAGGGTGCGCGTTAGAGTGCAGGATCAGCTCTCTTTGTTAACAAAGGAAAATCCTCAAATTAGGCCTTCAGGTCCTGCACACTAAGCTAACGTTCCTCTGCCTGGCATATTTTAATCCCAAAGCCTTTTGTTAATCTGAATAATACATATATTATTTGACAAATGAGAGCAGTACAGCCACGGAGGAGGCGGTTAGACTGCTTTCTGCTCTGGAACAAAACCATTCACAATTTTTGTCCTTGAAGAGAGGAGAAGAGCTCCTTCTTCCCCTCTCTGACAGTTTTTATGGGTTTGGTGAGCATCGCTGTCTCTGTGAAACTGAGCAGCATAAAAACATCTCTCACAGCACGTTTCAGACGATCTTCAGTTGAAGGACTTTGTGTTCCTCACCGCCTCCTGCCCACTCCGCTCAGTTTACCTCTTTTCAGAACTCTGACAGAGTACGCAGGATTCAGAAAGATGAAGGTCAAACAACAACAAGGCTGGGGGTTTTTTTTGGGGGGTTTTTGTTCCTACATACTAACAGACCCTACAATAATCATACAGACAAAAACCCAACAATCATATGACCCCCTATGAGCAAGCACTTTGGCGACAGTGGGAAGGAAAATCTCCCTTTTAACAGAAACCTTGGGCAGAACCAGGCTCAGGGAGGGGCGGCCATCTGCAGCAGCAGTGAGCTGAAGGCGAGTCAGACCTCCATGAATACGCCTTCCCACCACCAAACCGGTCACGGTGAATGATGTTACAGGCAGCATGATGTTCTCCATGGCTTCTCCATGCCCTGTATGGGAGTTTCTCATTGTGGCCCTCTCTGTGTTAATCCTGGCTCTGCATTGAGGGCTTTTTCATTTGCACCCGATAAAGATCCATCTGTTCTCTGATGGAAACCAGTCGTCTGCCCTGTCTTCACGGTGTTAAAGTTTCACATTATTATGATTCTTTCTAATGACACATGTCACGTCAGTGTCCCACACTGTAAAGGAAGAGTGTTTCCTGCTGAGTGTTGTAGGTATTTGCTTCCAGGTCTTGTCATTTACTGATAAATCCGTCACATTAACAACACCGCTGAAGGATGTCAAAGGAAATGGAGAACAAAACATAAACTTTAGATTTCTGAGCAGTAAATTTTTCCTCCGATAACTATCTGACACCCAGATATTGACTCCTGTGGTGAACCCAGAAACGTTTGACTTTATTGAAGGTTTTGGCTGGCTGTGTCAATGTAGGAGAGCGTCCCGCCCTGAGGGGAACACCTTCATAATCATAAAATCCTTTAAAAACAAAAGAAGTGATCAATTGAGACAAGACTGGTTTCGTCCTGATGGGAGGTATGTTTTGTGTTTTGAGGAGCTGTGAGAAAATGTCCGTATTCTGAGGAGAAACCCATCACGATGGTGACAGCTGGAACATTTCTGTGTTTTTAACCTCCGAGTAGTCTCATATTTCTGTTTCAATTTCATTCTACAGCTTTCCATCAGAGTTGGCCCACTGGTGGGGCGAGAAGAGTGGAAGTATGTTTAACCAGAGTGTCCTGTGTCCCATGAGAGTGCTTTGGGAGGGTGGGTTAGTGGACGTGCTGTTACTAGCTGTTCTGTTCACATTACAAATGATAAATCTGCTCGCTGTCAAAGAAAACTGCAGATTGCCTCAGTTCCATGAATGTGAAGCATTTACAGACTCGATGTGATTTACAGTTCAGGTCACAGTGCAGGTCTTTTACTTCTCACTCTCTTCTTCTGTGGTGCTCCTGATGTGTGTCTGGTGTTGCTATCTCTTAGTTTGTGTTTTATTTTGTCCTCCATCAGCACTCATGTTTGGGTGACAGCTGCTCTCCCGCTCACCTCATGCCAGTGGAGTGCTCTTATTCAGAGACAAAGGCCATCTTTGTTTCTTTGAGCACTGCATAATTTACGCACACACACAAAGCAAAATTGGTATGGATCGGATCTGGCCCACACATGGCCCACATACCGCAAAGAATGACGGCCCTTTGGTGGCCCAGCTCTGGTTTGCCAGACGTGGCCCACACATGGGCCAGCACAAGGCCAGTTGTAGACACGCTGGTGGTTCTGTGCTGTTCCAGAACAGTTTCAGCTCTGGCCCCAGATGTCATCCTAATGTGTATTTTAATCAAGCCATGTAATAACAACATGTGCATAATAGTGCAAAAATAACATGATGAAACTCTGTTCAGACAGTGAATGGACTAATTCCTTTAATAGCGCTTTTCTACTCTCCCAGAGTGCTCAAAGTGCTCCATACAAC